AGGAGATTATCCAGCATTCATTTCTATATTGCAGGACTGGTATTACATAACACTTCAGCACTCTTTTCTTTGTTTCTCATGAAAATTTCCTGTTTCTTAATACTTCGCTGAGCTTTTCGAAGGCATTTTTCGCTATCCCAATGCACCTTCGGATTTCGGTGTCACACTTTCTATCCTCTGTTAAAACGCTTCCCAGATATTTACATTTTTATACTTGTTTGATTTTACTATCCCCAATTTGTAATTTGCATGTTGGACTGCCCCTTTTGCTAACAACCTTGAATTCTGTCTTCTTGCAATTGATGTTTAGTTCTTTCTTCTCGTTTTCCGTCACTAACTTTTGTAGGCGGTCTTGTAGTTTCCTTTCTGTGTCTACTATCAGCACTAAATTTAAAATCGTGAGGGAGGCAACAGGAAACCGCTCTACTATCTTTACCAATATGTCATAGCATTTCATAAATAACAAAGGAATTTGTGAAGAGCCATGTTTGCCTACGTCTTGAAGGGATATTAAAATAAAAACCGTAACATTTTTATGAAAAAAAAAACCAAGAGCTAAATGTTCCACGTGAAATGCAACATATATATTCATTAGCTGCTTGATTTGGATTAAAATCTCCAGATAAGAGCGATGGAAGAAAAAGTACCTTCGCAATGCGGAAGGAAGTAATCTGATATGTTTGCAGTTAACATGAAAAGAAGAGGTATAAAGAATGTCTTTTATGCTTTCGAGAGTAGGCTCTTGAATATATAAGCATGTTTTTGTTTGCTTATGAGAGCATGACTTCATAAGTATACACATGCACGTGTTTATGTAAGAAGATCGTTTTATACACAGGTGGGCAAGCGATAACTTTTTGGCGTCAGGTTTGTTGAGAGCGTCATCAAGCGATGAAGAATATCAAATGAAAGAGGATTTAGGTTAATTTGATAAATCATTTGATTTTTATTCGTGCTATTGACTTTTTATCACAACGTTTTTAGTCGAATCCTTGCTCGGCATTTATATAATATGTAATATAACGATATATAATGCCTGCAAAAGGCCTTGATCGCTAGTTCAGCCACGATAAATTTGCGTCCAGTCTTTTACAATATATCACCATTCTTGGTAGATTTTATAATGGCATAGTGTGGGATAGTCAAGGAGAAACGTAATGGAGAGAAAAAAGAATACAGATGAATTTGGCTAGAATAGAAAAAAATATTCTTTCAAAAATATTCATCACCATCAAAATTGTTGCGAATTTGCGGTCATAAATTAACATTTTCTCTTATCTTCAGTGACATTGTATACTGATTCGACAATATTTTGCCTGCCTTCTCTGTCCTCTGCGAGTTTGGCGATTCGTTACTGATGTGGGGCCAGAGTTGGGACCACAGAAGTAAAACACGGAACACGGATTAGATGTAAGAAAGATATATTAACAACAGGTTACAGAGATAGTTTAAGCGGAGCTTACTATATCACTCAGTATGTCACTCTATGTCGCTCTGTGAGACGGTATTTATCAATCCACCCACGGGGATCGAATGTGGCACAAGGCCTTTTTAATGTGGGTATCTCTGAGCCCGTAGGCCCAGCCAAAAATAAATAACCATCCAAACCCGCCGAGGCGGGCCAGTTCCGTCAACCTCCCCTAACAAAACCCTACCCTTCGGCGGAGCTTCGTCCGGGTTCCTCTCTGCAAGCAGAGAGTTCGACAGACACCCGACCCGGCAGCTCACAAAGCGCAGATACTACACTTTGATCCTAGCCACCGCTCTGTGAGACTCTCTAGAGTGCTATGTCGCCTACTTAATATAGGCCTGGAATAGTCTATTGTGTAGGTAGTTTCCGGTCTCACAATAGTTACAGATCTCCCTTGATCGTAAACTTCTCCAAAGGAAAACTGGGATTTTTCTGCTTTGTTCTTTGAATGTCTCAGTTCAGCGTTGTGACTATGGTGGTTCTTGGATGACCTCTGAACTTTTTGAAGTCAGTCTTTTCAAAGTAAAACTCTATGGCTTGATCATGACGTTGGAAGTTCAATATCATTTTCCGAACATTAGCTTTCTCAGTATGCAACATCTTAAATAAGTAATTACCGCGTAGCAGTAACTGGAGCAGGAAATTACCTGCACCTCCATTAAAATGTTCTATCTATCTATATATTAAGACATTTTTATGTTTATACATTCTTTTTATAGATACAAATATTTAAGTAAATGCTCTGTTTATAATAAACAGTATTAACATTTACCGAATGTCCGAGAAATTTTCACAGAAAGTATTCGTCCTCCGACAGGATTCGAACCTGTATCCTATACGGAACCGTCATTTAGGTTGATGTGCCTTTAACCGATTTGGCCACAGAGGAGCGTTCGGTTAGCAAGGTCGAATTTACTGTCTTTAAACTTCAATCTTTCATGAATCTCTCACGTACATTCATATCTGCTCATGGCGTATCAAATGTAAACAAATGACGTCACACATTATGTAATGGACAAAAGTCCGACAATTATTTAAAATAATTGTCGGACTTTATCAATTTTATATATATATATATATATATATATATATATATATATATATATATATATATATAGAGAGAGAGAGAGAGAGAGAGAGAGAGAGTAAACATCTAATTTACTAATGTATTAATTTTTATAATTTTTGTTTTTCATATTACATCCATTTATATATTATCTTTTTTGTGTTCCGTTTTTGAAATATATATATAATGAGATAGATAAGATACATAGATACATATGAACAGATAGACAGAAACCCACTTTGTTATATATGAAATATAATAAACAAATATTATGAAAAATTGACGCATTAGCAAATTTAAATGTATACTCTCTCTCCCCCACCTCTCTCTCTCTCTCTCTCTATATATATATATATATATATATATATATATATAAACATACATATATATATATGTGTGTGTGTATATATATATATATATATATATATATATATATATATATACAACCTAGTACAAGCATATAAAAACAAACACATGCAGGCACATATCTATCTCTCTCTCTCTCTCTCTCTCTATATATATATATATATATATATATATATATATGTATATATATATATATATATATATATATAGAGAGTAAACATTTAATTTGCTAATGTATTAATTTTCCATAATTTTTATGTTTTTTACATTTTATCCGTTTATATATATATATTTGTTTTTTGCATTACATTTTTTAGAAATATATATATATATATATATATATATATATATATATATATATATATATATATATATACATAGATATATATGAACAAATATAGATAGATAGATAGATAGATAGATAGATAGATAGATAGATAGATAGATAGATAGACCAGGAGGCGTTGCTAGGAGAAAACTAATGTGATCTATAGCAATCATATCTCATTTACATTTTCTAAAAATTGTTCAATGTGGTTAGAAATAACATACTGTACCCATTAACGACCTTTGGTGACCTTGAATGAGCCTGAAGTCAACCTTAGATCTCCTCTGCTTCAGTTGGATGTTTGATAAGTGATAGTGGCCAAAATAAATTCAATAAGCCTCTTGTTCATGCCTGATTGTGTCACCGAGACACTACCAATGCTCTTAATACACACCTACACACAAACAGGCACGCACGCACGCACACACACACACATATATATATATATGTGGTTAGGTTATGAAATAATTGGTAATCCATGTGGATAATCCCAAGGAGTATGTAATCTAGAGACCTCAATGTAAAAACAGAGCAAATATTAGTTTAATTAAAACAGACAACCTTAAGTGTCCATTGATTATATTTTATTTCCTCAAGAAAGGGAATTTTTCCTGGTTCCTTAGATCACATTTCCAAGCATAAAAGAAAATAGTTTAAAAATTAACACACACACACACACACACACACACACACACACACATATATATATATATATATATATATATATATAAAGAATTAATGGATTTATTTTAATCCAATATTTTTATTACTTCAAACCTTACTATAGTGGATACTCGTATTTAAAATAGACGCCCCACTTTTATTTTTACTTTAGACAGTGTTTATTACGTTTCTTGGTCTGCTTATTTGATGAATCTTAATAAAGAAAACGTGCTCTCTGGCAGGAATTAAACTTTCACCCTCCTTTGTAGGAGAAACCACCATTTGATCCAGTGTATTTTACCACTCAACTTCAAAGAGCGTCACATACCTGAAAGGCTCTATCGACCCTTTTAAGAAATACACTTTTGGATTTTCTCGGCAGCCTTTACCTGCTCGATTTTGTATCCAAAACATAAACAAAGCAATTTCTAAAAAAATAATGGATTCATTTTTTATTTGGAGATTCGTATTACTTTAAATGTTATTATAGTGGATACTCATATTTGAAATAGACGTCCCATTTTCAGTGTGTATTATGTCTATCGGCCTGTACACTTGAGAAATCTCAGTAAATAGGCTATGTATATAATTTCTGTTTTCTTTTTCCTCATTCAATATTTTCTGTTTTTTTTTACATTTTTATTCTTTTTCATCTGTATTCTACTTTTTGTTTTCCATTTCTCTTTTTCATTTTCTACATTTCCTTCTCTTTTTCTTCCTTCTCTTTTTCTTCCTTCTCTTTTTCTTCTTTCTCTTTTTCTTCCTTTTTCTCTACTTCTTTCTCTTTTTCTTCCTTTTTCTCTACTTCTTTCTTTGTTACATCCCTTTCTCTTCTTCATCCACTTTCATTTTCTGCTTTCTTTTACTTTTTCTCCTTCATTCTTTTTTTCTTTTTCTTCTTTGTTTTACATTTTCCATCCATTTTTTTCCTTTGTTTTTTGTTCTATCTTTTTCATTTTTCTTTTCTTTCTCATTTCTTTGCTTCTTTCTTTTCTTCTCTTTTCTTCTTCTTCTTCTCCCTTTCTTTTTCTACCTTTCTTTTATTTGTATATAATCTTTCTTCTTTTCATTCATTTCTTCTTTCTTTCCATTTCACTCACCTTTGCATGTTTTCTCTTCTATGTTTTTCTTCTTCATTCTTTTTCTTTCTTCATCCGTGTGAATCTTTTTCTTGCATTCACTTTTTAATCTTTCTTCATTTTCTTCTTTTACTTATTTCTTTTTTCTTCAGTTTCTTCTTCTTCTTTGTCTTTTTTTTACATTTATTCTTCTGCATTTAGTTCTTATTTATTTCTATGTATTGTATGTTTTCTTTTTTCTTTTAGTCTTCTTTCTTTACATCCATTAATTCTTTTCTTTCTCTCTCTCTCTCTCTTTTCTTTTCTCTCTTTTCTTTTTCTCTCTTCTTTTTTCTCTCTTTCTTTTCTTTCTTCTTCTTTTCTTTTTCTCTTTTCTTTTCTTTTTCACTCTTCTTCTTTTCTTTTTCTCTTCTTTTCTCTCTTCTATTTTATTCACTCTTTTTCTTTTCTTTTTCTCTTTTTTCTCTTTCTCACTTCTTTGCTTTTTCTTTCTTTTTCTCCTTTTTCTCTCTTCTTTTTCTTTCTTCTTTTCTTTTTCTCTCTTTTCTTTTTCACTCTTCCTCTTTTCTTTTTTCTCTTCTTTTCTCTCTTCTATTTTATTCTCTCTTTTTCTTTTCTTTTTCGCTCTTTTTCTTTTCTTTTTCTCTTTTTCCTCTTTCTCTCTTCTTTGTTTTTTTCTTTTCTTTTTCTCTCTTCTTTTTTATTTTCACTTTTTCTTTTTCTCTATTTTCCTTTGCTTTTTCTCTCTTCTTCTTTTCCATTTCCTCTTCTTTTCTTTTTCTTTTCTCTTTTTTCTCTCTTCTTCTTTTTTTACACCTTCATTTATTATTCCACCTCTTTCAAGCTATTCCCACCCTCAGTTTTTCTTCTCTCTCTCTCTTTCTTTCTCTCTCTCTCTCTCTCTCTCTCTCCATTTATTGTCTCAGCCATCCCTTCCTTTGCCTCTGTCACTGTCTATCTTCCTCTCTTTTATCTTGTTTCTCCTCATCTTTGTTGTTTACACCTTCTCTGGTTTCTTTGCAGCCACATTACTCTCCTACATCTTCTGCCTCCCCCTGTCTGCTTCTGTCTTCTCCCCGCCCCACCTCGTCACCCCCCCTCTCTCTCTCTCTCCGTCACCCACTCTTTCACTGTATCCTTTTCCTTCCATTAGAATTCTTAACCACCTGTAGAATTATCTCTTCTTTTTATTTCTCCTGCCGCATCATTCACTCTTATTTATAATCTCTTGCTGTGAAGGCGCAGAGAAAAAGTATACTGGCCTATCTGTTGCCATGGCAACAACATCTTTTAATAGTCGGTAAAGAGAATTAAACTCCTACTTCATAAGTTAGTCACTGTTGTTGTTGTTGTTGTTGTTGTTGTTGTGCCAACTCTCAGATCAAACCATGTGGCGCTCAACCACATGTGTTTCCTTGCTTTCCAAAATTTTTCACCGTCTTTCTTCTGCTTTTTCATTTTTTTTTTTTTTCCTTTTTAAAGAGCAAAATTATATTTTTTCCATTAAATCGACAAATGTTCAAGTTACACGCTTTGATAGATATAAACAGCACCAGTTTGGTAATTCAGTTGGCACGCTGTAAATGGCATTACAGTGGGCTGCTCAGCATCACCCTCTATAAACACAACAAAGTTGTTGTCTCTCTGTGTCATCACAGTGTTATTTGTGTTTATCTGCATATGTTGAAGATAACTATCCCCCCTCCTCCACCCACTGCCAACGTTATCTTCTTTAAAAAAAAAAATAATGAAAAAAAGGTCACCATTGTTTGTTAAAGGAATTCTTCTTTGCTTAAATATCAATTACTTTTAAGGCCTTGATAATTTTTTATAACTGGAAGATCGTCTGTGTGACATGTCCCTTCAGGAAGTAGGTGATCATGGCTCTCCACAACTTCCTATCCTTTGTAGCTCTTACCAATGTACCAATGTTTTTTTTTTTTTTTACTATCGCTTTCATTCACTGTTCTTCCATCCATTTACTCAATCTTACTAGGTAGGTTACTCATCATTTCCCGCTACTCTTCCTGCCTTCAATGTATCCTGTGAGTATTTAATTTTCCAAGCCTTTTATTCTCATTATCTGTCCTAGAAATTCCAACTGTATGTTTCTGATTCTATATATGTGACCATTTTGTTTCCATTCTGTCTTTTTGCAATCAATGTTTTGTCATTTTTTTCTGACCTTGTCTCTGCTGTTTTTTTTTCTGACTCCCATCAATATGTTGTCATCCGCATATCTCATGTTTTATCTTTTATTATTTACTTTTTGCCCATGGATAATAAATCCTGATAGGATATCTAGTTCTCTTGGGACTGACTTACTATAAAGATTGAATAAATCCAGTTAGAAGACATCCTGTTTCTGTATACTTACAACTGGAAGATCCTCTTTGTCTATGTACTGTATTTCTTCAAGCCATGGGCGATCATAGCCCTCCACAATTTCCTGTTCCTTTAACTCTTATAAATGTTTGTCATTTCACTATCCCCCTATTCCCAGTTCTGCCATATATTTAGACTAGCTCATCTGTTTCCATCTGCTCCTCTTCCCCTTCATTATGTCCCGTGAGTGTCAAATTCTCCAAGTCTTTTGTAGCGGAGACTTACCTCAGCAACCCAAAAGGGCCAGAGTTGTGTGTATGTTTTGCAAATTGTCAAGCTTCAGACTGAAGTTGAATCGGAAGTGGTGGTGTCGCTTGTAGCCATTTTTATTGGCTGGTTCTGGGCACTCATTGGTTGAACGATGGCTGGGTCAGGTACATAAAAACATGGTGCACTCATTCAAGAGGTGGGTTGATTCTGACAAAGAGTGGTGTATTTGAGATTGAGACACTGAGAAAATTGTGGATTTGTTTTGCTAAGTGGACCTATTGGACTCACATAGTTTTTTTCTTTTCCGTGTGTGCTTCCGACTAATTTTCACACCTTTTTTTCCTCATGATGTGTCCTTAAAGTTTCAACTATCTCTTTATGATTCTAAATATGAGTCTCCTTTTTCTTTCCACTTTCCTTAAAACTTCCTCGTTATTCACATGTTCAGTTCATGGTATTCTCAGCATCCACATATTTTTCAAATATTAACTTTAACTTAATCCATTTTAATAGATGTTCATTAACTTTCCTCAATGATACCGTGCATCTGGTAGTCTTTGGAAGTTGTTTAATTCTTCCTTATTTTTCTCTTCTTTTTCTGTCTACTTATCTACAACACCACAGCCTAACAGAATCACAAGACTAAGTGTTAAGGCTTCTTGTTAATGGAATTAACATGAGAAAATCAAGACTGTAAGGTTTTTTTTTCTGTACTAATCATTGAACAAGGTTCTGAAGATTTCAGTTTTAGGAAGCTTTAATACAAGAGTGAGATATTTCAAAATGAATTCATGCTGATTCTTGATTTTCTAAAATGATTGTTTGTTAGCACCCAGAAATAAAGTTGCAAAAATAATTTCAGAAATCCTATTTTTTTCTTTTAAGGTTCAATAAGGTGCTAGTCCCTAAAGAAATTACCATAGTAGGTATACTATTGCTTTACTATTGTTCACCTAGTACAAAGCCCAAGAGCCAATCAAGGTAGAGGGCTACTAAATAAGGCGGTTTTAAGGGTGTACAGGTAAAAAACAATAGGTGCATATCATGCAGATATGTAGGATACACAACAGTTGACCATCAACTTGTAGATGTCAAGATTGTAGTGATTAGGGAAGCATCCACTCAAGAGTCGTTTACATAAGACAACAGTTCCGGGGAAGAAGCTGTGCGAGTGGAACTTCCTCATTACCAATGGAATGTGAAGGAAATGAAGATGAATTGACTCTGTGTACATGGACTGGTGGATACTAGCTGTTAATATTTGAACTGGTGGAACCAAGGTTGGTAGTTTGCCATGAAAATAGTGATAGAGTAGTGAGAGGCTAGCAAAGTTTTGTCTGCAATAAAGAGGTTATAGTGTGGAAAATAATTCATCACCCAAAAGACCGTGTAGATTCTTTTTAACATTGTTAAGGCTGAGGGGTGAGTGTTGGCCAGTTCCAGTTCAAATATGGTAGCAATAGCTCATTTTTGGTCTGGTCTGGTCACTTTTGAAAAGATATAAAATTACAACACAAATATATTTGTTCTTTTATATATAGACTTCTTTATTTTTCTATAATGTGATCATGGCTCTCCACAACTTCATGTTTTAAGTTGTTCTAAGTAAGTTTTGATACACATAAATACATTGATACACATATTATTTTTGGAAATAATAATGGTTTTAGTGAGAGAAGTCTTATTAATTAACCCATAGGAGGGGAGAGAGGGATTCATACCTTTTCCAAGGGTAATATAACAAACCCAACTGGAATTGGAACTTGGCTCTCCAATTAACAATTCCAAGCCATTAACCACCACACCACATCCAAGCTTACAGCAATTGGTATTCATAAGTGGTCACCTATATAGGTACTGAGCAGGCTTAACATTGCTTAACTTCAGTGTTCATACAGGACAGTAAGTGCTTCTCCCATTTTGTTGTAAAACTAAGACAGCGCACTCACCCAGCTTTCGACTGACAAGCCAATGACAACCTCACATTGTGTCTCCATTCTCATTCATGTCAATGTTTACCAGCAACTGGTTAAGGGCTGCTGCACGTTCACACAGAAGCAAAAGAGGGAAAGAAAAGAAATGTCAAGTAATTAGAACTCATAAACTGTTAACGGCAACATATATATGCCAGATATATGTCATATATATATGCCAGATATATGCCAGATATATATGCCAGATATATTCAGATGTTTTCTTTAGGATTTCAGTCTAGGGTGATTAGTAGGTGACACTTGGGACAAATTTTCTCCTCTCTGTCTAACAGATCAGCTCTTTCCTTTCTCTTTTTCTCCTTCCAACATCTCGATCTCACAATGCATTGTTGGCAACATGAACAGGCAGCATAGAAACTACTCGAAGGACAATAAGTCTATCACCATGAGTCGGGGTCAGAATTGACTCCTTTGTTCATAATGTTAAGAGAGACCAGCAACTGGAAATTCTCAAAGACAAAAATAGTTAAAGAGAGCAGTAACTTATCAACTCAATCATTGTGACATGCAAGTGACATGACAAATTATCAAGATATTTGGCAAAAGAGGTAGAGGACAGGAAGAGTTCATGCCTTCCTGATGCCCCTTTTGCATCAGATCTAAAACCTGATTTCATTTTGCATGCTGGGAAGGTCATGGTCATCGATGTCAATTCGATATTAAAGTTGCCGTCTTCTCTCGTGGCTGGTGATTGCTAGTGGTTTTGAGCCCAGACATAAAAGAACTTTATTTTAACTTAACTATTCTAACATCATTGTGTAAATTTTCTAACTATCCAGTGGGGTCACTCTCCCCCCACTGGGGTGCCCTTAGACATGAAAGAAAACACATCTACATTGTCTGACAGTTAAGAAACAACTCACTGAAAATCCTTTTACTCTATCTTTCTCACACTGGCTTAGCAAATCACAATCAACTTCCTTATTTTGTCTTCTATCTGACCTCAAAGGTCAACCTCAGCAAATCTGAGTAGAGATACCATTCCCCCTAAAAATAATAGTCTGCTAAACTATTATTTAACAGATAATTATAATATCAGTCATCCTTTATGACAGACGAGCCAACAGATCAGGAAGGTAGTTGTTAACAGACAGTTGTCCGAAGCCCAAGCAATAAACATTGGCATTCCACAATGCTCTAACAGTGGATAAAGGCATTGGTTAGATCCAGTGACAGACCCAAAAGTAGGTGAGTTCAATACCCAGTTAAGGCACTGAAGAACTTTCAGAGTGAAATTAGCAGGAGATAACTGATAACTGACATCCATCAATCATGGCATGTGGAACTAGAACAGTCTACCCTAGTGAGCAAAATAAATGGTTCAGTTCGAAATTCCAACCACCTGAAGAAGGCCGGAGCATACAACAGCCAAAACGTTGTGATAAATATGGCGACAAAGATGAGGACAATAGTCCGAATAATGTAAAAAATGTGTTGAAATTGCTTGTACACTTATGTATGCTGTTCATTCTTCTGATAGTTGCATTGTACTTGCATCATTCAGGTTAACTCATGGTTCACATTGCCTGTTCTTGGAGTTGGGAGAAACATGTCTCTTCATTCT